TATGGCTAAAGAAGATGCTATCTGCATACATCTATAAATTACTACCAATCAGGCTTATTTTGAAATGGGAGGAATGCATAACAATATTAGATTTTGATGACCCTTAAGGTTATGATATCTTTAAAAAGCCCATAGTTATTGGAATCTCTCCACTGACCTCGCGTTTCCGTTTTCGACACCCGATTCCGCATTTCCGTTGAGGAATCTCCACAGAAACCGTTTTTCGGAACCGAGGAAACTCAATTCCTTAATTTCGGAATCTCGATTCGACACATCTTTAGAAACCTTTTTTCGGAACCAAGGAAACTCGATTCATTAATTTTGAAATCTCGATTCAACGCATCTTTAGAAACCATTTATCGGAATCAAGGAAACTCGATGCCTTAATTTCGGAATTTCGATCCAACACATCTTTGAAAAACCATTCCATAGTCCATATTATTGTAAATCTCGATCTCAAATTGGCATGGATCTCTGATAAACTTGATTCCAAATATGTTAAACTCACGATTCGAAACAACATATCTATGTTCCACACATGTCAGAAACTCTATTCCATAGATGTCGAAACTCGATTCCGCATATTAAAAAATCTTAACTCCTGGAATGTCGATTCTAGGGGGATGGGAATCCCGATTCCAAGGAGGACGCAATCTCGATTCCATAGGTGAATGAAACTTGGATCTATTTAGGTCAAAACACGATTCTCAAAAAATAAGAATCTCGTTCCTAGCGATTCGTATTGTATGGATAACGATTCCTAAGACATGAATCTTCTAGCCGGCTGCGATTCCGCGATTACGGTTCATAAAACGATTCAGGTTCCTAGGCGTTTCAAACAACTATGAAAAAGCCTATAGATAAAAGTTTCTGATGAACTTTCTAATTTGGGATCTGATGTTCCGCACTCTGGTTTTTCACATGTATTTAACCTTAAATATGCAATTATGTTCTAAATATGTGAGGCATGTCTTATCGTGTTGTAAATTTTAGCATTTAAAGATTCTCTTAAAAGAAAAATAATAGGCTCTAATTGATTGAGGGTTTTGTCTCAAAGGAAATCTGCTATTTAAACCCTGAGGGCTCTTACATATAGTTGAGTGCTGAGGGAATTGGAGTTGATGGGGGAACTGAATCGAGAACTGTGGGGGATATCAGTGTTTAGAAGGATTAGGATAAGTAGGCTGAGAACTAATATTTCAGAGCCTTTTATGCCTTTCATGACTTCTGTTATATACATTGACAGGTTAAAGCCTTCAAGGCTTCAGAAATGCCAAAATTATGGCCTTCATCACAACTATATGCAATTCTGACTTCATTACATGTGCAAGTTACCAGATTGTAGGTATACCCATGCACCTTGCCGCCGTATCACACTCCTACGCCCCAATGAATTAAGGTATAGTTGGTGGAATCTGTCTGCAGTTAGTGCTGTACGAGGACATACTGGCAAACAAAAAGATGAACTTTGATTTTCTAACATTTTGATGATGTCGGTACTTGTGTATAGCATCACATCCTATGTATGATGTGGGTGGCATTATTTGTTCATGTCTCCTATCAGCTGAACTTCTCACCAGATAACAGGTTCAAAAAGGCATAGTATCCAAATTATGGCTGGATTGTGCTTATTGATTGCCTTGTCCATGTTTAGGGTGGAAGTGGTCATACATCATTCAAGGGCCTATATGTAGATATATACATATATAATGTAGTCTTGCACATTTTATATGTACATAATGTAGAATATTTCTTCTCTGGGTTTTGTAACTTTGACAAATAATACCAATAGCTTAGCAGTAAATGGTGGAAGAAATTATGCTTTTAGTTGGATTAGTGATAGAAGGCACATGACTAATAAAGGCTTCTAGGCCAAATTTACTTTTCGGTATTTGCATATCTTAAGTTGGATATTACTAGATAACCTGTCTGCCACATGGACTTGGAAAGACATTAGGTAGGTGGCTAATGCTTTTGAACATCTATTTACTACAAAACTGAAAATCACCTTTTCAAAAGTGATACCCTATTAAAATTAGGTGTTCATGCTTTTTTGTATCAAAAGCTTCTGTAAGTTGACAATTAATGTAGTCAACGTCATGTATATGGTAATGCAACAAACAAAGGTCTAGGTGACCCATCTTAGAATGTGGAAGGGGAGGTTCATTGTTTTTAAAATGATTTGAACCAGATCCTCTTTCTAAAGCTCAACTTGTTCGCATAACCCCACTCTCTTGCTACATTACCCTTTTCACTTTTCGGTGTCCAGTCATTCTCTCTCGCACACACACACACACACATCTTCATGGTAATGAGTCTCTTTCTCTCTCTCTCTCTCTCTCTCTCTCTCTTTCTCTTTGATGAAAATAAAAATTGGGGTTATCAAAATTTTATTTTATTTTTCTTAGGAATAAGTAGTGCGATAGGATAAGTTAAGTTGAGAGGAATGGGAGGATTTTGTGTGAGTTTTTTAGAGATTAGGGTAGTACGTGATTTGTTTTGATCAATTGGGTTGGTTAGTTTTTAAAGAGAGAAATATAAATAGGATAAGGTTTATCAAGAGGGGTTTTATCTTCTCAATTGTAGGCAACGTTTTGCATTTTAGGGGAAGCTTTTGATTAGGTAAAATGTGGGGTTATCATCTAGAGATAACTCTCAAGGGTTATAAGAAATATTCTTTTAGTTAAGGATAGATATTTTCCAGAGGGAGATTTTGACGTAACTTTTCTTTTTGGAAGCCAAATCTTTTAACACGTGAGGTGGTAGAGTAGTTATAAAAAGGAAGCTGTAGAATGTAATGATAAAAATAAGAGAATTGGATTTGAGTTAAGAATTTGGGTCTTGTGAAAAGATCTTTTGAGGTGGACTTCCTTGTAGATCTAGAGAGAGGGTATATTCTCTCACCCTTTATTATTATTTTTATTTTAATTATTTCTTCCCTTTGTCTTCCCTGCAGCAGTTGGTATCATAGCAAGTAAGATCCATCATTCACAATGCCGACGAAACCTGCTCTTACATTCGAGGATATATTGCTGCAGATCATGGGATATGTGGATAAGTAAATTCAAGAGAGCATGAACACAACCTTGTAGAGCATGAAACCAACTTTGGAGGGTATCCGACGAGACATAAGTGAAACTAATTAGGGTTTGCAACGGTTAGATCAAAGGTTGCAACAATTGGAGGACACCATTCATCGAGAAGAGGGCATTCGCAACCACATGGATTTGTCGCCAAATTTCATTCTAGAGACCAATCGAGTTCCCCGGCCGACCCAAGTTGCTGATCTAGAACGTCAAGAACAAATTTGTAGACAAGATCAACGTCCTATAGAGCAGTCCACGAGATTTCGGTATTAAAGTTGATCTCCCAGAATTTCATGATCCAGGGTGTTCATCGATTGCATATGGTGCTTATTTGGAGTTGGGCCCATTCCTGGTTAGGAATAATTAGTCCAAGATTGTATTCAACAATTACTCTTGGAACAAAATCATGAACCTTATGTTCCTTGAGGCGCCAATAGGCGTAGGCTACACTAACAAAAGTGAAGATTTATAGGTGCTTGGGGATCGTATCACTGCAGAGGACACTCATACTTTCCTCTTGAATTGATTTTAAAAAGTTTCCTAGCTTTAAGTCCCACGATTTCTACATTGCTGAAGAAAGCTATGCAGGTCATTACGTACCTCTGCCGGCTGAGCTCATATACAATGGGAACACGCACATAGGCAAAGAGTCTCACATCAATCTTAAAGAAATCATTAAGGTCGAGATCTCAGTGTTTCATTGTTCTTCTTAAAGATGAGCAAATGGTATTTTATGAATTGGTTCATTGAGGAAAAAGTGTTGTCCCGCATAGTGGGACTACATCACCGATTAGTCGATTGGCTTCAAGCTCGAGTTTGAGCTTCTCCCAACCCTGGGAGAATGATGCAAATAAAAATTGAGGTGCCTTAGGATAAGTTAATTTGGGAGGAATGGAAGGGTTTTGTGCGCGAGTTGTTCAGAGAATAGGGTGGTGTATGATTTGTTTTGATCAATAGGGTAGGATTTTGTGCATGAGTTGAGAGTTGCGTGATTTGTTGTGATCAATTGGCTTGATTAGTTTTTAAAGAGATAAATATAAATAGGATAATGTTTATCAAGAGGGGGTTTTATCTTCTCAATTGTAGGCAACATTTTACCTTTTAGGGGAAGCTTTTGAGTAGGTAAAACATCGGGTTATCATCTAGAGATAACTCTCAAGGGTTATAACAAATAGTCTTTTAGTTGAGGATGGATATTTTCTAGAGGGCGATTTTAAGGTGAGTTTTCTTTTTGGAAGCCAAGTCTTTTAGGACGTGAGGTAGTACAGTAGTTATAAAAGGAACTTGTACAATGTAATGGAAAAAAGAAGAAAGATAATTGGATTTGAGTAAAGAACTTGGGTCTTGTGAAAAGATCTTTTGGGGTAGACTCCCTTATAGACCTAGAGAGAGTATATTATCTCACCTTTTATTATTATTTTTATTTTAATTATTTCTCCCTACATCACTCTCTCATCCTCATCTTAATTGTCGTGACTGGATTCATCCTTACAAACAATCGAACCAGCCTTCTGTTGTAAGGGTGTTTTGTCTTCTGTGCTGGGTTTGTTAATAACTAAATTTAGGAGTAGTTTCTGGTTTTGTTGGTCATTCACTTTTGGTGTATATTTCATTCCGGTGGTCCGTTTCTCTTTCTTCTGCAGTCCCAATTTACATTTTAATAGAAATTGCCATGCAAAGCATTGGTCAGATTAAACGAAATGAATGTCATTTATAGTATGACTTCACATCATATTCCTGGTCTCACTTTACCAGTGGTGGGATTAATTCTTCTGTTTCTTTTGAGTTGATCTTTCTTTTCGCTAGTCCACAGCTAAAATTACGCTCATCTAGAAAGACCCTTAGCTTTGTTGGCTCCAAAATACTTTTATTAGATACATTGGCATCTTCTGAGCTTAAAGTGCTGAAATTTAGGGTCATCTCAAGCCTCATCGGATTGCCTCAATGGTAGAAGCGCTGCGTAAGACTACTGGTGAGCATCCTCTTGTTCTACTCAGTTATGCATGATTTATTTACGCTTTTTCTTTCATTTTGGCCTTGGACTTCCTTTGTAATTATAATTGCACCTTCTAGTGAATATCCCATACACGATGGCTACATTAAATCTCTTGAGGGATGGGAAGAATAATGGCATGGCAGTATTAGGAAAAGTGATGGTCTTCATTCGGTTGCCCTTTACTTCCCTCCCGTAAGTTCTCTGTTTTTCTTTCTAGTGTCATTTGTTTTATTGTATGTTAAAAGAAGAACTTGGAAACTGTAATACATGCATTTACTCAAAATAATATTACGAGGACATTCCAAATTTTCGTGGCCTATTTTGCTGAGGTAAGTTACTGTTTGGAAAGAACATATCTAATAATTTCATGATTGCTATGTTCTTTTACAGATACTTTTTGCTGTGTGATTCGGATGGGACATTCTTCATTCTCTCATTGTATGCGCTATCTAGCAACGGGGTGAGGCTAGATTCAATGAATGCTATATTTCACATTACTGAGACATGTATTGCAAAAAAAATGAAAAAAAAAAAGGAACATTATAATTCGAAAGAAGTTTGGAAAAATTTAATGCCAAACAGATGATGAATTTGAAATAGAAATAATCATAGAAAGCAGTATAAGATGTAGCAAAGCATATATTTTAAAGTGTTAGGAGTCATATTTATATGAAATTGATTTGGCAATCTTGAATTAACTAATAGTAAAAGCTAAAAATAAGGTTAATTTGAGAAAACAGCTATTATTGGTGGGTAACTACACGGATTGATCTTGATATGGTGTCCTAATACTAATTGGATTCTTGTCTCTTCTAGGTTAAGAATGGAGACACCGTGACACTGCTCAATCCTAATTGTAGAGTAATTGATTTCTCTTGGAAGGGCAAGGTATGGCTTAATTTTGCTTTCCTTTTGGACGAATGCTGATATAATCCTGGAACATTAGGGTTCGAAGAGGACGATATATTGTGTACTAAATGAAAGTAATCATTCAATATGATATAAGATGGAATTTATGGTGATTTTTGGCAATAAGGGCGTCCAACATGGGATAAGGAAATCTTGAATCTCCATGATATGCAGCTCTTGTTGATTAATGTAGTTGCCACATAATTTTCTTCTAAATAACAGTTTGCTATTCTTTTGGTGTCTAATGCGAAACAGGAATACCGCTTCAAAAGCATACGGGTGGATAGGTTGGGGAATATTCTCGTGAATGGAAGCCCACCGCATTCTGACCATGTGCGGCCAATGGCCATCCATACAAAGCACATAGCATGAGTTGCAGTAATTTCTCAAGAGTTGTGCATTTTTTTGGCATTGTGTATGCGAGCTACATGAAGAATTAGTCAATTTTTGGTGTACATATGAAGATACCATGGCAATTTTGTCACTTTGAAATCACCATAAATGCAATATTTTACAAGAGCTTAATGACTGTCGATGGATATATTTTTTAGTTCTATATTTGTTAATCATGCACGGGGAATGATGTTGTATCAAAATGGTTAATGAAATTGGTATTGGGATGGGAACCACCCAAAAAAGAGAATGATGGGAATTTGAAACTAACTTTGTTGAACATCCCTTGTCCGTAAATGAACTGGCTATGCTAATAGATGGTTCGTACCCAGCAACTTTTTCAAAATACTGAAGGAGCTTGGGGTTTGATTGGTTAGCAGTTGACTTTTAGGGGCACCACATCTCAAGTCCGATTCCTACTATTGAACAACCCAAAAAGAAAAAAAAAATGTGAGATGAGCAAAACCAGTCTTTTTTGTCAAGGGTTTTGACGTTCGACGGAATTTTCTTAATAATTATCCGTGTTTAAAAAATCAATGATCTAATTTGAAATTGGGCGATCTGGATAGGGTAACGAATAGATTGTTCTAGATTCAACTATAAAACAGGATTTGGTTATGTTGATGGTAGCATGATGTCACAGCACACTTTGTTCATTATGATGTCATCAAACTTCATTATGATGTCATTGAACCTGGTTCATTAGACGGTTCATTATGATGTCATCAAACTTGTTCATTATGATGTCATTATGATGTTATCAAACTTGTTCATTATGAAGTCATCGAACTCCATTGACTTTGTTCATTCATTTTGAAGTCATCAAATTGAGTATCAGACATCAAATCGAGTATAGGACTTATTTTTTTAACACGGGAGGATATTTTTGAAATTTTTCTTAAAAATTAGGGCAACTATATAATAGGAAAAGTTTAAATAGAGTCGAGGCTCTAAACAATCAAATTCAAGCCTACTTCAAAAATTTTACAAGAAGATATTATTTTGATGCTCAAATATCTTCAAATTCATCATCTTGATATCAAAATGGATTTCAAGTTTTAAAAATAATGTATTTTGTAACGCATTTTTGGATCGTCAAATATCGAGGTTTTCAAGTTTTCATAGATCTCTCGATCTACATTATTTTTGAAGCTTTAAACTTTATACATAAAAATGGAAATATATTTTAAGGCTATATTTTCGACATTGACCTATTTATTTCTTGACACGGAGGCTCTAAAACAATCACTATGAAAGGTAAGCTCTAAATTTGATTGTTTAGAGCTCTAGGCAAACCGCACCCCTATATATTCCTTCTTGTGTTTTGACCGCGCCTCTATATAATAACCCCTGTATATTACTTCTTGTGTTTTGACCGCACCCCACCCCTATAAAGAATTTAAGTGTTGATATCAGACAATCTCAGTGGTGTACAAATTGATTTTAGTTTTTGGTGGTCTTCGCCGCATTCTATCTCGTGATTTTACTTCAGGAAAATTTGCTCATGCGGGTTGGACCGCGTGGCTACATATGCGGTCCAAAAAGTGTAAAGCATCCATTTTAAAGATAGATGCAAGTAGGTGTTCCATCTAAAAACAATGGAAACCAATGGTCTAAATATTTTTTTTATTAGAATTATTGTTTCTAGTTTTTAAAATTTAGTTATTTTTTCATATTCATGATCTCCATGTTAGAGATTACATGTCCTTAAAAATTAAATCCGAAAATTTATCTCAAAAATAGATTTATTAATAGGCCCGTATTTCTACATATGCAGGCTTGGCCGCATAAAACCATGAATTGGATGCACCCTCGAGGACAAGCTTGGACATATCGAGTAGGCGTGATTGGGCCAAGTTTGGAACCAAAGGCATTTAATTTTTTGTGGTTTTGAGAAAATATCGTTGGCATTTAATTTTTTGTAATTTTGAGAAAATATCGTTGTAATGGTTAAACCATCTCAAAAACCCATTGAAAAGTTCAATTCAACCAATTATAAGGCACAACAAACTGAAATCTATTATATCAATAAAAGTTACATAATAGATTTTAGAACTTATAGTTATCTCTCCAACCCTCGAAAAAACCCAGTCGAGCAAACTTTTTTAGATCACTCTCTTGATCGCCACTATCACCAATTTCTCATCTCTATTCCACACTTAAACCACTGTCTATTCTACAATTAAACCTCATATCTATTCCACAGCTAAATCACTGTCCAGGAAGAGATACATCTTTATTTTTATAGCTAAACCGTTGTCCAAGAAGTGACCCTTGAGAGCATCCGAGGCTTTCTCTCAATGAAAAGGAAAACCACCCAAAATCTTCATGGGAACCGCTTCTCTACAAAAAAACCAACTTCTCAATCCACATGAGCCACATCATGGTGTTTCTCTTCATAGAAAGCGATCGCTTTGCGTCTTTCCTATATGGTGACCCAAATGGGGCACCCAAATTCTTTCCTCTTTCATTATATGTGTATAAGGTTGGGAATCCGCACCAAATAGGAAAGTTCTCATAGATGTTACATATATCTCAAAACCAAAAGATATATCCAAGAGTCATCTGCTCACCATGCCAAAATCCAACATATAGCTTTATGAATTGTCAAATAAATTTCTTCATCACTCTTGCTAAAAAATAGTAGACAGTTGGTTTTTAGTTTTTTTGGAGGGACAACCACTCCACATCTATCTCAAAGAAGGGTGTTTCGCACCTTAGGGGAGGGAATGTAGCATTCATCTCGCAAATCCCAACACGTATACCACTTTTCCGTTATTAAATTCTCTTGTTCTAAGTTTGGAGTAAAAGGGGGTCTATAGATTATTGGTGTTAGCTTAAGAACACTTCCATAATTTGGGCCGACTTATGTTATGAGCCAAAGTACCAAACAACTGTTGCTCGTTCAAGATTCCAAGCCCTGAAATAGGACCATTTTGGGTATTTAAAAAAAATACTTGAAGACGTATTATAGTGAAAGTGATTTTATTAAAGTAAAGGCATGGTTTCTATGGTGTCAGTCGACAAGGCCTGGTTCATGGTTTGGGGTTCCAGAACCCAAATAATGCCCGCAGCCTTACAAACATCTAAAGACAAGTTCATTGAATTTAATGGGAGCAATCCCAATGTTCATTATCATTTGTCTTTTGTAGCATTATATCAAATACCATGGATATTGAAATGGACATATGTTGTATCTCCCAATATAATACATTATTATCAATATGTACCATGCTTGGGAAAGCAAATCTCAGTAAAATGGTGGGACGTCTTTGTCTGCCACCAACTTGAGCCTGATAATATTTTGCTCAAACAAATACCTCTAGAAAATATATCAGTTCCATTTGAAATATGGTATAATACCTCCATCTTTATTTTTTAATCTATTTTTTACTTTCTCAGCAAATAAATATGGTAATCCAACTATAAATGTCTCTTTCCAATGATCTAATTGGCTATCTTCTCTAGTTAATAGTCTTGAGAAAAATACGTCCTTATACCATTTATAATGTGATAGGGTTGGACATTTAAGATTGGATAAAAGGTCTTCAGTTTTTGCTTCAAGGAGGGCTGTACTCCCCACAAAATGAAGAGTAATTGTATAAGTAAGGGTGTTAACCTCATCACTTTCAGAGTATAAGATATCTTGATTTTGTTCATTTTTTACTGTCCATTGTCTGGTAGTATTTAATAATTGATTTTTTGTATTTTCAGGGAGATGAAAATCTCACCAACCACGAAGCCAGCCAGTAAATCCACAAACAATGGCTTTGGCGACTTCTTGGTCATAGTTACCAACCATTTTACAGGCAGAGGTATACATAGTCATATGCTTTATTGTATCAAGTATTTGATGTTCTGACATGCCATTTATATTCTAATTGATTATGGTTCTTCCTGAGTAGGAGGTTATATGAGATATAAGATCTTCTTCAAATTGGATGTCAACTGGGGTTGATCTATGATGATAGGGTCTAGCTGTAGCAGGTTTCCAATTTCTTCCATATGCTATTCTTTGAATAGATTGGGCATTATTTTGGCTTTCAGTAAAAGCGGTTTCCATATTTTTTATAGTATCAGGTATTTTAGGTTCTTCAGCTTCTAACATTAATGTTTCAGATTCTGTAATTTCTAGTTTACCTTTACCTTTTATATTTGGTTCTGTAATATCAAGTTTAGCTAATTTAGATATTAATTGATCCATTAACGTCTTATTATTATCTCCTATATGAAATTTTTCTTTATTTAATGTAGGAGGTAGTTTGAATAATACAGATTTCTGTGTTTCTTGTATTGGTAATGGTCTTAACATATTTTCTATTCTTAGAGTTTGTTTTCCAATAGATTGCATATATAAATTTGTATAATTGTTTTGTTCTATAATATGGGGAATTAATTCCGTCCTAAGAATTATTTCTCCAGAAGTCATTTTATAAGGAGTAGCTTTTGTTTGTAATACAGGAGTATTTTCCGTTTCTTTCCCTTTTATAATTATACTTTTTTCTGGGGGATGTAAGCTAGTAATTTTGGTTCCTTTTGTTGTATCAGAAGTCCTATATTGACGTTCTAATGTATTTATTTCAAAATTAGGGATTGGAATATTCCTTTCTTTTAATATTTCTCTTAACCATGTAAAAAATCCTTTATTTTGTTTTTCTTGTTTCAGAAATTTATTATATTTTTTATGAAATAATTCTACTAGTCTTGGTTCAAACCTTTTCCTATACCAATTTCTTATCTCTTTATTTTCATTTGATAAATAATCTGCTTCTATATATGCTTTATCTATTTTTCGTTCTTCTAATACTAATACATGAACTTCCATTTCTGAATCAGAAAATTTTGAATAATTTCTGGCTTCTTTTTATATTGGTTTATAATGAGGTATGACAATATTATCTCTTGTTCATATTAGTCCTGAGGTCTAGATGAACTACATGTAGAAGAAAGGGAATATCTAGATGGTTCAATTCTATTTTTAGAAGTGTCTATCTCATCTTCATTTTTTTATTTTAAATATTTTATTTGATCCTGCAAATTTTATTTCTATGTTACCATCTATGTGTTGAATAATCTTATCAGGGATATTGTTTGTTGGAATTTGATGTCGGATATTTTCATTTTGGATTTAC